CCCCAAAACCCCAAAACCCCAAAACCCCAAAACCCCGGGACATTACTTAGAAGCTGAAATAGATTTAATATGAGAAAATTATAACGATTCCACCTCCGATTTCTTAGTGAAAGTTAGGATTTTGAAGGGTTAATCTTGGATAAAATCAAATCAATTTTTGAACTCATACAGTCCATTTGTGTCTTCATCTCTGACTGGATTGAGCTGATTTGGTCGGCCATTTCAGCATGAACTGAGCTAATTTTATCTTCTATCTTATTATTAATTTCTTCAATTTGTTGCTTAGTTGTGTTTACAAACTGATCTACTGTTTTCTGATCATATTCCTTTAGAAACTCAGAATCTTTTTCAGAAGGACTCTTATCCTGATGTTCATTGGAACAATTCGTTATAATTTCACCAAGCATATTCTGAGACATTTGGTGCTTAGCTCTTTCTTCGGCAAAGTCTTGGTAGGCAGGAAACCAGTCATTTTTGTGGAGTTTTAAACAGTTGAATACATGTATGTCTCGATAATCTTTTCTTTGGCTTTCTTTCATAGATCTAATGTATCCTATGTAGTACATGTAATCCCATATATTGTGTGTAAATTTACAATGATGCTCAAAATCTGCTAGGTCACTAGAGAGTTTACCACAGACAAAGCAGAGGTCATTTTGCCTTTGTTTTATTGAGTCGCTCTTTGCTCTTCTTTCACCGAAATTATCAATGATGATTCCACTGAGAATACTGAGAAGGAGTGTGGGAACGATAAAGAAGAATAAGAAATCAAAAATCATTCTGCTGGCATGGATTTTATATTCCATCCTCTCTTCAACTTGTTCTAGTATCGACGACCTCCCGTTTTCAGCAAGGAAAGCTCCAAGACCAAATTTATACCATGAATCGAAAATAACAGCTATTCATCTTAGTAGTGTCTCATTTGATCCTTCAACAACCAGGTTAAAATCATTACTGAAATAGACATAAGCAATTATGCTGAACCAGTAAAGAATGATAGAGCTTAAGATTACAGTTGAACCAATCCTTTTATTTAGGCTTCCATACTGCATTTGTTACTTCAAGTATTTGAGGTGAGAATATTAGCATATAAGTTAGAGTGAATGAAAACCAAAAGAAGTCTACAAAAATGCCAGCCAGAGAGAAACCAAGACAGGTTAATAAACACCATATGTTTCTTATCTGAAATGTGTCTTCTAAATTATTGACCATATAGGAAATTAGTTTCAAAATTCTAATACTCTTTTTCCTTTTGTTAATGTCTTCTTCTCGTTTTAGAGCTCTTTTTGATTGTAGTTTTATCATAATGGCTCCTTGGATCATAGTTATATATCCAAACAGTAGCAGAATTAATATGCCAAGGATAGTTTGAATAGTCTTGGTAATGGAAAAGCTCAGATCAAACAGTTGAGGCTTGTCAAGAATCTCTCCTTCATTGATTTCTAATGAGAAAAATATGATGAAATTTATCATTAATATCAGTATTCTTAGAATATCACTTAACCAGTTATTTTTAGAGACATCTCTTGGGCAGAACCACAAATTTTGTATTTCCTGTTGGATGAAAAGCTCATCTATTTTATCATCGGCAAAACTTGCAAAAGATGCAACTGCTGTTTTACTATTGTCTAGGTTTGCTTGAATCCAAAAAGAATCCTTCTCAGTTTGTGTGAAGGAAAGGAATGGAGGGAGTATCTCAAAATACCTATTGACCATTCTACCATCAGGCATAACTATTTCAATATTTGAGCTATAGCTGTCAAAGAATCTTGTAGCTTTTCTTAATAAATTCTTGTCATTTTCAAAGGGGCGATATTTCTGCTCAACAATCTGCTTGTATTTACCCTTCAAAGGATTAAATTTAAACCATAGACTTTTTACTAGCTTCCAATATTTTGAGAGAGTTTTCTCAGTATCAATCAGCTGCACTCAATTTAAATTGTTTTCATAATTATTATCCCACAATTCTGCAATAAGGTAGTAGCATTGGAATCCAAGATTTATATTATACACCTTCGAGAGCTTCGAATCTTGATTAAATAACTCTGTTGTGTAGTTGTCATATTTATAAATTCTATACTGCACATAGTTCAATTTTAGCATGTTGTTAAAGCACTCATAATTCTCTTCATTACGGATAAAATGCTCCTTTCCAGGAAGAATTAAGCAATTGATCATTCAAAGCACTTCTTGCTTCAGTAAATTTAATTTTTGGGAGACAGCTAAACTAGCCTTAGTCATGGTTCGGCCAAATGCATTATTTTGAGAGCTCAAAACTAGACTCTTTCTGAGCCTTTCTTAAGAATTCCAAATCAGCAGAGGAAAATCCTGCCTGAATTACTGCAATAGAGTACTGGAATACTGTTGCAGTGACATATTGATTAATGTGATATTCATTCCTGCCATTTATTGTTTCAATCATAAAGCCAACTACAGTCCTCAACAAGTCTATGACATACTCATGATTAAGTCAAAGTACCCCTGTTCTTAAGATCTCAAGTATTGGAAGCAATAAGTTCTGGTTTTGAACAGAATTATCCTGCTTGCTTAAATAATTTTGCCAAAGTGTATTATTTTTACATAACATTGTTAGCCATTTTAATACTAGAATAAACTCTTTGTAGTCAGTTTTATCAAGATCATTAATTAACAATCTGCTAATATTTTCATCTCAAAAATAGCTGTTAAATTGACCAGCCAAGTTGATGATTCTATCAAATAGCTTATTTTTATTATCTTTTGAATGGGTCCAAACTCTGAAACATTTCCTTGCTGATTTTATATCGATTTGTACCAGCTTGGCAAGAAATAAGAATGCAAAATGTCTCATTTTTGGAGCACAGTCGAGGAAATTGTATTGTCTCAGGATTAATGAAAATATCACTTTGATAGAATGTTCTGTATAAAACATGAATTTTATTTCGGGTTTATTTCATAATTTTGTCATCATTTAGTACCTCTGCAAGCATTGCTCAACTATGAAGAATATAATCCTGTGTATCAGAATTTGGATATAGAGTCTCGATATTCTGCAAAAGTCTATGGATAAACAATTGAAATCTTCGGATGACTATTCCCTTGGCTTCTTCATCCTCTATTACTTTGATGTCTTTTCTGAACTTATTTCTTTATAATTCTCATGAGGCTTGATTCCATTCCTTCTTCTCTACACCAAGCTTGAAGATCATATCCTTCATTATGAATGGAGGCCTTCTTTGAGGTTTCACCTTTGCTTGCTTTTAATAAGCTCCTTAGCCCTGCATCAGGATGCTGATTTATCATATGAATGGCATATTCAAATAATCTTTCATTTCTCTTAACTCTGTTTCTTTGAGGATTAAAAGCATGTAAGAATTTCCCAGAGATTTCTCCATTTATGAGCTTCTCTTTGTCATGCAAACAATGACCTAATTTTGAAGCAACGGCTCTTAGAAGATCAAATGAATCAAGGTTGAGCTTTGCTATATTTCATTTTCGTAACACAGTCATTAGGAGTTCTTGATGCAGGTCATTTCATGATTTATTTTTCCAACAAATGGAGAAGAAATTGCCATTAAATTTCCAGATAGACTCTGATAATAGGGGATACTTGCTGGCTTCTATCAGGCATTCATATCAATTTGAAATGAATTGGTAAAGCACATAAACTCATTCATCATTAGTGTCTTCATCGAAATCAATTAATCCATTAGCTTTAGTGATCAACAATATTATATTCCAGATATTGTTCATATGACTATCATATAACTCCTGTTCTTTATATCTCATTTCATTGGCTTCAATAAATTCAGACTTTATTATATCAAGTTTTTGTTCTAATAAGACAACTTCTGGGACATCACTTTCGTTAAGATGGGTAAAGAATGGGAGGGTTTTTAATCATGCAGTCGAGATATCTTCTTCAAATCGAGATATCTCAGCCAACTCTTGGCCAGCTTTGATGGTTGGTTTATCAAATTTCATGATAGTATCAAATATTTTAGAAGATATGTCTGGCTCATCTTCAAAATTAATCCATTTGATTATCACATCATGAATCATCCTAATGAAATCTTTTTCATTTATTTTTAAAGGAAAATAAAATTTTCTAGGGGAAAAGTGTAATTGATGGAAAACTCCTCCCTTTTTATTTCTATGTTTTCTATTTTTAGACATTAGTCAGAAAATCTTGAATATCTGAAGGACAATATCTCGATGATAAGATTGTATGACAACATCCACTTCACCACATTTGTTGTTGGCAAGTGCATCATTTGCTTCAATTAAGTATTTGTCATAGAGATGTGTAAATTTAGTATAATCGAATGCATGTGGTGTTCCTACAACTTCTATTTTCGATAATTTTAATAAAACTTTAAGTAGAAAATTAAATTGTAAATCTCTCTGAAGTTTGAAAGACATCATATCCTCATTATAAGGGCTCTGTAGTAGCGAAAGGAATAATTCAAAAGCTTCATTCATGAAAAATAATGCATCAACAGATTCAAAATCTTCAATAACTTTTACTTTCTCAATAATAATTGTTGTGATCAGATCGATATCTCTGAGTTTGACTTCGCTATAGACCTCGTCTTCAACATTATAACTGTAAATATTCGTAAAGAACCTAATAAGAAGCCCTTGAATATGAAAGTGGTGGATATCGTGTTTAAATCATTTTATGATCAATTCGCCCCAATCCTTGGAAAAGTAATTCATGCTCTCTACTCCTATCCTGATTCCCATACTATAGACCACAAGTAGGAATAAGCTTCTTAGAAGGCTGTCTTTTCCAAGTGAGTTTTGGTCAGCATTAGTTCCAATTTCTAAGTGCTGCTTTATTTGAACTTCAGCTCTTCCCCTGAAGTACATTCTATCTGTGAATTCGGTGTCTCTAAGCTTTTCATTATTTATACTCAGTAGCTCTCTGGATCATACGTTCAATATCAAGTCTGATAACCTCTGATACTAATGATCTCAGCTTCCGGCATATAAATTTTATAGCAGGAATGTTTAATCTGTTACCACTCCATACACAGAAAGCATCCTTATAATTAGAAGTCATTATCCCATAAAGAATGTTCAAATTACACTCCTCAAGTCCTCTGTCAAACTCATAATTTACAAACGGAAGAAATCACTTTAACTCATAAACATCCTCTCCATCTCCTAAATAAAAATCACTCCAACCCACTTCCAAACTTCCCCCTAACCAATCCAAAATCTCCTATCCAACCTTCCCTTCCAATAATCCCTCCCCCCAAACCCCCTCTCCCACTTATCTTCCTCTTACCTATTCCATACACATGTTCACATATTCTCTGTAGTGACATAACTCTTCTATACGCCTATAAATCTTCGGAAAGTACCTGTAGTCATGTACAGAGGCACTGTTTGGCTTGGCCTTGGGTTGGTGAGGGGTTAGAGATGGGTTGAAGGCTGGAGGGAGGATGGGTTGGGGACAGGAAGGGGTGGCAGTGGGAGGTTGGGGGAGGGGATTGGGGTGGTGGAGTTCGGTTAGTTCGAGGGGATGTGTGATGATGGTTTTGGCATTTTTGAGGGCAGAGAAGGGGGTGGTTTTTGGGTCAGAGCATCCTAGGGCGAGGATGTATTCTCAGCAGCAGAAGTAATAGTAGAAGTGGGAGATGTCTAGATTGATTGTGAGTTAGATAGTTTAGTGGAGAATAATATTTTTGATCAATTTATAATCGATAAGTCGTGAATCAAAAAGTCTTAGTGATTCGTTTGGGAATTTTAATATAGATAAATTATCACAGTGAATATGTCTTAAAAATCTAGCTAGAAAATGTTCAATAACAAAAAATTAGCACAAAGTTAAAAGAATGAAGTGATATCTTACTCAAACTTTTGCAATCTTTTTCTCTGGTTAAATACTCTGTTCTTATATCTTTGAGGATCTTTAGATATTTTTCAAATTCGAAAGCCTGGTTGAAATGATAGAGCAAAGAAACGTCTTGATATCCTATAATATTTAAAAAGTAAGCCCAATAAAATAAAACCTCAGTCATAGAGCAATTTTCTTACCATTAATGCACATATATGATGAAGAATCGCATTTGGTTGCATTGGGCTCCTTCTTCAGCATATACTTGAGGAAATAATGAATATATTGTTTCATGCTAATATAAATATCTCTTAAGCTCTCTGTGTCAAGTTCTCTAATGCTTTCTTCTTCACTAATAATTCATTTCCTCTTGGCGTAGAATAAGTCTCGATCGATTCGCTCAATATCTCTATCGAAAGAGTTGAGCTTAGTGAGATGAAATAAAAACTCCTTCTTTTTCTTCTGTTCAAAGACTGAGGCAATTATTTTATTAACCCCTGGCTCGTTTGTAGGGACTCTCCTGAGGTAGGTATTTTCCATATTTGGCACTTTAATTAGCAACTGAAAATTTGTGAGTAAATCCTGACCTTCAGATACTCCTTCAACTTCGAAGATTTGAGGGTGAGTTCAGATCGTAAGAATCTCGTCTTCGTAGCCTAAATATTTCCAAGCGTAGTAATAGTATTCTTCAAGAGAGTTGTAGAAGCGAAGAGCAGTGGTGAACAGAATTCTTCTCTGATGTGGGAAATAAGTGATAAAGAAGGAATTGGTCAAGGGAATGTCTGTGAGACAAGGTACTTCGATTAACATAAGCTCTTTGAGAGTATCTGATGTTGGAGAACCCTCGAAGTTATAATGATGACTATAGTTTAGATAATGGGATTGGTGATCTAGGACTATGTATGGATCATTTGCAGTAACTGCTTGTTCAGCTAGAAATCATAAATTAAAAGTTACAGATTAGGGCTTGAAAAATTAAGGAATTAAATCAAAAACAGTTAATTTTTAGTCTAATAAGTACAAAAATAGCAAAAATTCAAATTTTATACCCCTTCTAACAATATCCCTACAAAACCTCTACTCTCAAACCCTCAACCCTGAAATGTGTTTCCATCTCCTTACCTTGATCAACACTAACTGTATTCTGACTTTTCTCAACGATCTCTAAAAATTACGATTCTCCTCACCCAGTTCAATCTGATGTCCTTCCTTTTCTTTAACAAGGTCAACGTCTAAGAAACCTATCTGGCCCAGGTACGTGAACTTGTTGGAGACTATGGTTGCAAGAAAGTATTCTGTGTTTGGGAAGATTGAGGAATCGCTTTTAGTCTCGCCCTGTAGCAACCATTCATCTACTTCGATACAAGTTTCTTCTTCATGCTCTTTCAAGTCGAGAAGCATTTTTGTGTCCCCTGTTTTATTTTCGCTTCAACATGAAGTGGGAATGCAGGGATAGTATAGAATTACAATTCACACCAACAGGGTATTTCTGAGCGGTACGAAGGTAGATAGCATTATTTTTAAGTGCTCTTTAGGTCAGATGTGTAAACAGAATTATTCAGTTCACGATACCTTTTGGAGTTCTTTTGAAGGTATGTGTGGTTGTTAATGATATTATCAGCTGTGTTCCTCTGAACTGGCTTGATAATAAATGTTCAAGCATCTTCTTTATCCGGAACCCATATCCATAAACCACTAAAAATGATGATAGAGAAGCCAAAGACTACAAAAATAGGAAGTTTAAAGAGTAAAATTCTCTAAAACCAAACAAACCTTGCATGCTTAAAACACCCAAAATCCATTTATCCAAATTTTTGAAAAATCTAACCCAACTCACACAAACATCCAAAACCGACCACCATATCCCCATAAACAGCCTCAAGCCCCAAACCCTCCTCTCCACTCCCTCTAAATCCCTCCTAACCCCACTCCCTTGCTGCACTTACTCCCAATTCCTCAAGTACTTATAAACCCCCTGGTCCTGATAAAAGTGCTTAATGGCCACTACATCTCCATAAATGATAGGCTGTATCTGAGACTTCTCTACATGAGGAATAGTTGAAGCTTAAACTATACCTAGTGTAATTCGATCTGGTGCATTTGTTTCACCTGCTTTAGGCCTTCTAAAGTAGGATTAGTAATCAAAGTAATCAAAGGAATGGGATTTACCTGTTTTAGCTAAGGTGTACTTTTGAATGGTCGATCTGTGGGTAAAATGAATACTTACTGGTGGGAATTAAGCGAGGATTTGGAAGAAAGGGAAATGGAGTTTAAAGATATTGAGTTGGTTTGGTCTTGTGAAGAAGTTGAAGAAAGTCTATTTGAGGTGAGAAGGAGGGGAGATAATAGATTACTTGAATCGGTTATCATTGTTGCTGTATTGAAGATATTGGAGGTGGTTGAAATTTAGGCTTCTGTCTTCTTTTGAGGATTCAATAATTTCTTCACTCGAATAATCATCATTGTACAATCTTTTAACTTCTTCTTTCTCAATTCGTCTTAAATCTTCATCACTCACCCCCTCATGCAAATTCTCCACATTCTCATTCACAAGATTATCAACAGTATCAAAATGCTCATTTTTCTCATCTAAAGCCACTTCATAAGACCTCACTCTCTAGCCCCCGTATCCCACCCTTAAATCCCTTTCCCCCAAATTCCCCAGTCAGCCTTTCCAATGACTCATTGGCTTAAACCCTTTGACAAAGACCCCAACTGGGGGTTTTCAGTGACCAAGAACAGGAAGCTGAGCTGCCAGAAGGCAATGGATGAGGGATAAGGAAGAAGCTTACTTACTTTTGTATTTTTTGAATTTGGCAACCCTTTTCATTTTTAAAATATTCTATTAGAAATTTGATGAATGGGGTTTTGGGGTTTTGGGGTTTTGGGG